GCCTGTATAAGAGACGAGATATTTTTGGAGACTTCAAAATTAGTTTAATCTGCAGTTTAAAAGACCCAGAAGGCAAGTTGGGTAAAGTAAGAATAAGTTACAGAGTTGCAAGTCCCAAAATATTCTGTCCAAGTTGCATTCTCTCCTATTCTGCTAGGCTTCAGTTATGCACACAGAAAACATAGCCTGCCTTTTTAAAACTACTGTGTTCTATTTTAGTTTGCAGAAAGATGCACTGTCTGGAGAAATGGTGACCTCGGCAGGGGGCTTTCTTTGGGAGGAACAAGTGTGCGACCAGATGGTATGAAGTATGTGATTGGGTGGTTGCAATTGTCCTTAATGCCACCCTCTTCCAAATACAAAACTCTGGATGACTTGGCCAGGGCCTTCTCCAACTAGTTCCCTGCCTTGAGATACTTTGCTATTTCCCTCTGAACAGTCACTATGAGAGAGGCTGTAATACTGCCATCTTCCTTTTTTTTAAAGAAAAAAAGATGGCACAGGATCACGATTTCAAGAGTGAAGAGGCAATGGGATAAAGCAAGAATCTGTATTAATGAGAACCCTGAAATTCTGACATGTCCTCTATAAATAGGGTTTGCAATCATTTTAAGTACGTTGGAGCAGAGCTGCAAGTTAATACTCGTCCACGAGGGTCTAGGACAACTTGCCATGACCAACTCACCACGGCCAACTTGCTGCGGGATAACTCACCATGGGACAAGAGTTACATTAATATTGAAGAAATGGTGGAACAGAATCTTTAAAGAAAGGATGCAAAAAGAAGGGCAAAATGAAATGTGAATGACAAAAATTAAAATATTTTTTTAATTATTTTAAATAATTAAATTGAATTGTTGAATTTTCCTATGGCGAGTTGGCCTGTGGTGAGTTAACCATGGTGAGTTGTCCCATTCTGTATCCACAAGATTGGCAATTGCACTTGATCACCCAGCTGTAGAGCCAGCCCAGGACAGCTGCAAATCCTTGTCTTTGGAGGGCCTGCATCTTTGACATTTTTTCCCCGTTTATTCTTGCTTCTTAACGGGGAAAGAAACTGTCAAAGAATACTCCTTTTTGCACTCCACTACAGGTAGTCCTCAACCTATGACCACAATTGGGATGGCAAGCGATGCAGTCATTGAGTCACCATGTGACTGGACCTGATTTTACAACAGTTTTTGAATCGTGATCAAGTGAAACATGCAGTCATTAAGCGAATCCAGCTTCCCCAATTGACTCTGCTTGTCAGAAGCCTGCTGGGGAAGTTGCAAATCATGATCATGTGACCACAAGACTATACAACAAATGTAAATGCAAGCAGTAGCCCAATGCCCAAATTGCATTCCTGTAACTGTGGAAGTGAGGAGACAATTGTCGTTCTAAGGACAGAGCGTCACTTTTTCTGTGGCAGTCATAACTTTGAAGTGTGGTTAAACAAATGGTTATAAATTGAGGACTGCCTTTGGAAGAGAGCACAGGATTCTTAACAGTGTGCTTGGTGGAACTCTTGTAACTCATATCTTATTTTTCCTATTCTCTCAGAAGAGACTTCCACATCTGGAACTATACAGAATTACTTCCAAGGAATACTGCTCATCCATGTAAGTGACCAATGGACTATTGGAGATGATTTATTAACACTTTATACAATATTTTAATTGTACGGCTGTAAGCTGCGTAGAGTCACCTTGGCAAGTTGGCAGGCAAAGAAGTCTAAATAAATAAACATGCAGCCACTGTAAAATAGGTAGACGAAAAGCAGAAGAGTTGGAGGTGGGGGGGATGGAAAGAAAGGAAAGGGCATTGACTGTATTCACACAATGAGCTTTAACCAGATTAGTAGAAGACTGAAAGATGAATTACATGATGTATACAGCTTAATCTAATGTGTTTGAATATTAATTAATCTAAATTTTGTCCCCCCCATCCCAATACTGTTAGGCGTTTTTTGTATTGCAGCTTTAAACTGTTAATTTCCCATGAATAAACCAGATGGAAATAAAGAAATCTCATTCTAGATTTCAGCTCCTCCCACTGCTTTGGCTCTGGTTGTGGCCTGTTATTCTGATTGGTAATCCCCTCCCCTTTTTAAATTCCTACTGAACTGATTAAAAAAACAAGACACTGCGGCTTTACCATTTTTTTCTCTCCATTGACTGTAATTTAGAAGAAGAAAGTGATGACTCTTCAATTTCACCTGGTTAAAAAAAAGAGATGGCTCCCTCATAGCATTATTCCAATATTAAATCAATGTGTTGTTAAAAAAAATGAAGAAAAAAAAATAAATCCACCTTTTCATTGTTCCACTAGGAACTATCAACTGTATTTGATCCTCTTCTTGTGCCTTTGTTTACATATCGTTCTTTCCCTTTTTTGTGCAGATCTTTCCTACATCCAACTCCCCAGGCTACCTGGAGGATGCTGTGGGCCTTGGCCAAAGTCCTGTTTCTGATCCTGCTGTTAGCTCTGCCTCTCCATTTCTTTCATGGCAGGTACTCCAGGCAGCCATGCTTGCAGCTGCACTCAACACCCCTGCTGTACATCCAGTCCAAGAGGTTGTTTCCCCCTTTAGCTTCCTGAAGGCACTTACACACATATCATTAATGACCTTTAATAAAATTGAATAACAATCACCACAAACTTCTCTGTTTACCTGAAATGGGAACCATATCTGATGTTTACTGTGCAACTTTCCTTTATGTGGTTGTTGTTTTTTATTTACAATAGCCAGACTAAATTATCTGCTCTCAATTTGGAATCACAACTTTATTATTATGGTTCATTGCAGTCAGCCAGATATTCAGACTGTATTTGGCATTTTTGTCTACCTACTGAATCCTTTCCAAGGACCTAGGATAGGCAGATGTGGATGTTTGATGGTGTTACAGATATCATCACAGGATGAAAGCTATTCCAAATAAAGCAGCCTTTTGCAATTGACTTATGGCAAATTTGTCAACGCCGATGTTGTTGTTATTTAAGATTTAATCTTCAATTCAATTCACAGTCTGGGACTACTTAAAAACTTAACAGTTCAAGTCCTAACCAAGGAGCTAAGAGCTGTTAAGGTAGCATCTGAGTATATAGGCTGTACATTGCCCAGAGTCCCTCACTGAGGGAGATAGTGGTCTATAAGCATGAAATATATAAATATATGTAAAGACACAAATAAAAGTGGGATAAAAATCTAATATAGAGGAAAGAAAAAGTGGATATTCTATCAATACTAGTTACAGTTTAAAATATTAAAGTTACAAGTATTATGATTATTTGGCTTTCTCATTGATAACATTGAAAATGAGGAGATGAAGGAAGAGCATACAGTATATCAAGATACTTGTTATGTAACAAATGTTTTGGCCATAAGCTAAATAACTTGATATTGAAATTTCTTTAGAAACTTATAGAAATTTTGATAGTTTCTTGCCATTTGTGTAGAATTATCTCAGAAATTATAATTATAATTTGGAGTAATTTGAAATACCATAGATTGTTTACTTTGCTTAATCCATTTATTTCAATAATTGCAGTTGATCCTGAGCAAGATATAGATTCCACCACCTTTCAAAGTCTTTTTAATCTGTTGCCATACATTTAATATTGTAAACTTAGTTACGTTTTTTGATTAGAAGAAGAAACTGGACAGCCATTTGTCTGAAATGGTATAGGATTTCCTGCCTGAGCAGGGGGTTGGACTAGATGACCTCCAAGGTCCCTTCCAACTTTATCATTATTATTATTATTATTATTGTTATTATTATTATTATTATTATTATTTGCTATCAAATGCAAACCAAAACATTTTGCTCAATGGGCTACCTGACAGCCCGATTCTTCTTGCAAAGAAGAAAAGAAAATCTCTTTCAGAGAAGTTTTCAGTCTTAAAAAGTGTGTCAGGGGTGTCACTCTCCTTTCTCCGTGGTTATTGAATAATTAGGCATTGTTCTAGGACTGTCACTAGGTGATATGGAAATTGATTACTTGTCATCACATGACTTTTTGACTCCTAGCTTTCATACAGACAGCTTTTCTCTTTGACAATCTATCCCTAACCTATTCCTTTAGGTTTCCCAATGGTGCACTCATTGCCATTATCACCAAACTTTGCTGCTGGTTGTCCTTTACTTTTCTTTCCTTCCACTTTCCCAGCATTAAAGCCTTTTCCAGAGAGTTGGGTCTTCACATACTCTGTCTGAAATAGAGTAATTTATGGTCATTTGTGCCTCAAGTGAGAACTTTTGGTTGAATTGTTCAATGATCCATTTGTTGATTTTCTTGGCTGTCCACAATATTCTCACAAGTCTTCTCCAACATCAAAGTTGAAAGAAATCACACTACTCTTTCTATCCTACTTCTTTAAAGTCTTTAAAGTTACCGAAATAAAGGACTTAACATATGCAGATAGTGCGTCTCCAGTTGGACCTGTGGAATGTCAGCTTTGGGAGACACCAAGCCACATGAGACTGATAAAAACACAGACCCCACCTGGACAGCTGGACACAGAGGACCACCAACAGGTAAAAGAGCCGGATTCATTGCTGTGCTTCTTCTCTGGATTATCTCAAAAGGTATAACACCTACCGAGATCTCAGATCTTGATTCATCATTCTAGGGAATTACAGCAGAGTCAGTACTTGGTGGCCCGAGGATAGAAGATCAGAAGATCGCCAAGAGATTCCCGGGCAGTGAACTTAATGGGGAAGCAAAGCCGCAGGGTTCTAAGGAGCCTTGACAACTACAGCAAACCTTCCTGCTCTCCTTTTCCGAACAAACCACAGAGTAGATATGATTTTCCACCTAGCCTGCAACTTAATGCAGGCGGCTGGTGCACTCAAATGACCATCTTCCCTCTTTTACTCCCAAGCGCAGCCGCCAAACGCCTCCCGCCACCCCCGCCCGGCGCCTACCGGGCTTGGTGTCGCCTTCGGTTTCTACCCGGGGTTTGCTGGAAGAGCCGCCGCCGCAAACTGGGCAGGGTGGGGCCAAGGCACATGATGTTCTTCTCCGTGGGGAAGTAAATACTGCACAGTATTGCCGGCTGAGCTTTTGCCAAGCTCGCTCGCTCGCTGTTTTTTCTTTCACTGGGAGCGCGGCAGAGAAGCGCGGTGTCTTTGGTCGGGGCAGCGCTGAGGGAGCTGTTTAAGAGTCCAGTCCGCATTGTCCCCCTTCGGTGGCTGCACTACGTCCTGTACGTCCTCGGAGCATCGGAAAAAGCTTCTTAAGTTCAAGAGAGTCAGCCTAACAACAGGCGAGGCGGGAGGAGCAGATTCCTCGGCAGGCGGTGGGTATCGCGCCCGGAGAGTTGAGTCAGAAAAGGGTCTGCGAGCGGAGAGGCCAGCTCGCCTTCGCGGATTGCAGAGCGCCGGGCGAGCGCTTTGTGCGTCCTCGCTCCCTCCCTCTTCTGTGATTTCTTTCGGTGTCTTCCGCCCCCGACGGCTTTAACGCTGGGAGTTCAGACTCTCTCTGCCTAGGATTGCGACTCAGCCTTCCTAACGCCCTCCAGGAGCGTTGGCTCTCTAGCTCCCATTTTCCATAATTATGCTGCGCAGGGAATGTGGGCGTTGTAGTCTAAGGTAGGTGAGGATCATCAGGTTGGGTAAGGTTGATTTAATTTCTCCGCGTTACTCCTTGGACTAAGATGAGATGCACGGAGATGTAAATCTTTTTGGTTAGACCAATTCTGGGTTGCCTGTTGGGTTTTTCCTCTTTTGAGTTTTGTGTGCCATGGCTGTCCTCCTAATCTGAATCTGAGTTATTGGGCGGGGGGGGGCAGTGAAGTAATAATTGCACTTTAATGAAAGATTCATTTTTCACATGGCCCGAGAGGCAACAGGTATCGACTATAGGCAGTGCTCGCATGGTAACAGTGAGTGATAAGTAAGCCAACTAGTTCTCCGTTGTGCAAATCCAGCACATGTGGTTGCTTTATGGTACAGTGTGAATGTGTCCTTTGAACACAGTTGTAAGTAGAAACCTCCAGGGACTATGCAGTACAAAATAATTTGTATTTCAGGATTATAAACTCCATTTGCTAAATGGGGAAGTGAAAATAAGTTGGGAAGAAAATTTAAGAGAATCAACTATTGAGATAGTTATATTGGAAAGGGAAAATATATTGGACAATAAGCCAGTTTTCCTCCCCTTAAAAAATGTTTGGTTAAAAAACTTTCCTCAGTTAAATACATTTTTAAAAAGGGAACCTTTCATGGGTATACTGACAGGTATATTAGGATAATGGTGGAATGTGGCAATTGTTGTCCTGACTTTCATTTTTAGCCATGCTTGTTCATTCTTTGCAGGGATTCTGCAAAATCCTGATGCTGCTCATTCTGGCACTGTCTTTGGCTCACACCTATGTTGTGTATGGGAACATTTCCTGCTACGATGACTCTGGGAAGCCTGTCGACTGGTGTGTGTTTATTTTACCTGGCTTTATCTTTTGTTTTCTCAAAAAAGATTCCTGCCCTTTTCATTAAAGTCCCTAGAGCAATTTACAAAAAGTAAACTAAATTCTCCACCTCTCTCTTTCCCTCCTTGGCCTTCCTGTTTCCCTGGCAGTTTTTAGGCTTTTCAGTTGTTTACCCCAACTCCTTCCTTGCAACCATCCATGAACAGATGAGTAAATAAATGCCTTGTGCAAGAGATGCAAGCAGTACACTCTATCCTGGCTGCCTTTTAGTCAGAAAATGCATTTATTTATTGTATTTATCAACAATCACACTCTACATGGACTCTTGGTGGTGTACAATTAAGACAGAAGTACAGATATAATGTAGAAACAATAATCCTTAAAACTACCCAAATTTTTCATAAATTACTACAAATAAAATTCCTAATAAATGTATTGATGACTGATTTTAAATTAGGGGTCCCCAATCCCCGGACCAGTACCGGCCCATGGCATGCCAGCAACCAGGCTGCCCAAACAAGCAAAGCCCCATCTGCAAGCTGCAGGCAGCACACAAAACCAGGCACCCTTTGGTCCATGGAAAAACCTCTCTCCAAGGAAGCGGTTCCTGGTGCCCAAAAGGTTGGGGACCTCTGCCTTAAATATCCTCTGAACATCTTAGCTCTTAAGGTTTTTCTAAAGGTCAGAAGTGATTTGAGTCATTTGGATTTCTGGCAGAAGATTGGTCTGTAATGTAGGTGCCACTGCTGAGAAAAACCTTTATTTCTCAGTGAGGCTATCTTTGAAATCCTGTGAGTCTCTCCACTTCCCTAGATTGCCTCTGGAGTTTACACCCCTAATATGCTCTATCTCCTCATTTCCTTTCCTTTCTTAATCCTACAGTGAAGTCACGTTGCACACTTCAGAGAAATTAAATACAGAGTTTTCTCATCCACGGGCTGGTTGCGATTTCTAAAGGCCTGTTTTTCAGGTTTATTGTTTACAAGCTGCCCAAGTCCCGTCACAGCTCCCCAGTAGAAGGCATGCGGTACATGTATCAAGATGGACGTACCCAGGGCTGGGTGCAAGGCAGGAGCTTGATGAACAGTACTGAGGGAGCTGTGGGCAGAACACTGAATCAGCTGTATCTGGAGGCTGCAAACAGGCAGGTGAGTCTGCAGAAAGAGCAGTTTCAGTTTCTCATGGTCCCAAATTAAAAATTGTGGTCATGGGGTAATATGGTTCTCACTGAAATGACCCAGGATGGACCTATTTGTGATGGACAAGTAGCCATTGGATGCAAAATTGTGGTAAAGGCCACATTAGCTGAGGCTGGTGTCAGGCTGCATACTTTTTCACATGGGTGGATCTTGTTAGTTAAAAAAAAACCCCAGAACCTCTGGTCAAGATGTAAAACAATAAGTCATGGACATAAATGCCCCCTGGGGAGAAAGGTTTGAAATGTCACCTAATGTCACCCCCTTAAAAAATTGCTATGGATACCTAAAGGTCTGCATTCAAGTGAATCTCTTTTTACTGTTAATCTCTCATGAAGCTACTCAAGTTCTGTTTGAAAAATCTTGCTCTACCTGTGTTTTGTTTTCCCTCCAGAGGGAGGAAGAGATGGCCTATGTCCTGTACAACGATGAGCCTCCAAAGGAGAATTTCTCTGGTTCTAAGGGTCATACAAAAGGTAGTGCCCTTGCATCAAATGTATTCAAAGAAAAAGACTAGCTGTGACCTGTGACTTTTCTTCAGTTTAGTCTGTGGTAGAGCAGACAAGCCACCTTGTGCTGCACTTCTGGGACTTCAAGACAGCTGGACAGAGGTTGACTGCATGCTTTGGTTTTTTCTCTCTCCCCCCCCCAGGGGTCATCTTCCTGGACAGAACTCAAGGATTCTGGCTTGTTCACAGCACACCTCGGTTTCCTTCCAGACTGGATGAGAAGACGTATGCATGGCCCCATACTGCCCTGACTTATGGACAGAGCTTTCTATGTGTCACCTACCCCTATAGCCAGTTCAAAGCCATAGGTAGGTGTGAGGGCTGGGGAACGTTAGCATGTTTAAAAACTCCATGCTGAAAATCAAAATCTTGGGATTATTTCAGGGCATTTGGCTAGGAAATGCTAAAATGTCTTTCCCAAACGAAAATCTTCCCGAACTTGTGGCTTGTGCAGGAGAATGAATGGATTATGAAGATGTAGATAGGATAGTCAAGACAGCAGAGCGATTACCATGGAAACGAAGGAAAGAGGAATTTATAAGTTCATGCTCCTAAGAAGCATAACTTCTAAAATTATTGTTCAAGGACTACAAAAATTTATGAGGAAGAATTCCAGCCAAACATTTTGACGCTAGCTTCCCTGAAATGCATGTGTCAATATGTCATTCAGTCATCTAACCATGCCAGCCAAGCCTCCCCACAAAAATGAAGAACACTCTGTCCCTTGTCCCCACAAAGGAATAGCATATGAACAAGCAATAGACCTTCACCATCTCTCAACATGATTCCATTTCAAGAAGCACACTATTCCTATGGAGAAACTGAGGCAGATTCCACATAGGGTAGTGCTATATCCCTAGCTTCCAACATTAGCAGCTGTATTCAGCTGCTCCAAATCCCCAAAATCTGGATTGCAGTTTGTTTTCAAGAGTCCCTGTCTTTGTGCCTTCTCCCCTTCCTAGCAGTCAATAAGGTGCCTTGAAAAACCAGTCAGTTAGCCTCATTACACAAACAAGCATGGCGAGAGTGGGGATGTGGCAACATGTTGCCAGGAGCCCAGTTTTGGCGTTCTCATGTAGACCATGTGGAGGAAGTGCTGGTCAACTTTGGCAAATGGAGAAAACAATGGGCCTTTGTGAGACTGGAGATCCTAGCAGTACAGAAATATCCTTAGCTGTTCTGAGGTGTCAAAATGTTTTTTTTTCCTGGCAGGATGATAATGTGCTCCCAGCCAATAAATCTAACACTGTACACTGTATTTCTGCCTTAGGGAATCAGCTGCTCTTCACGGAGCCCCATGTCTATGATTACCAGGTGCCAGGGGCCTTTGCCCGGGATCTGCCTGCCTTGTTGAATGCTTCTGAGGGGCAACATGTACAGGAGGAGCCATGGAACTCCTCGGTGACTCTGACATCAAAAGGGGGCAAGGAATTTGTCAGCTTTGCAAAATTCCGTTTCTTTGATGATGGTAAGTAATGATGGGGGAAGGTAGGTGTAGAAAGCAGTGTAGTTACTAGAGAGGGAATATGGCCATCGAGTTATATCAAAACTATGCTCATAAATTCATTTGCAATTACAGGTAATCCCCGAGTTACGAGTGTTCACTTAATGCTTGTTCAAAGTTATGCCATGAGCGCCCAAGTGCTTACGAGCAAGTCACAAAGTTACAAATATTGTAGCACCACGGCAGTCGTTTGCCCTTACGAGTGACCACAGTGGCTCTGCAACATTCACCCTGGTTATTCCCTCCCTCACCACTCCCGCCCCGGGTCTTCCTTAGGCACCAGGCCTTCAATACTCACCCTGCAAAGATCGAGATCCTTCACTTTCTTAGCTGCTCCAGGCCTTCGATGAGTTTGCAGAGAATGGAGGCCTAAAGTAACCCCAAGATCACACGAGATCAGTGGGGTGAGATCTCAAGCTACTGATCTCGCGTGATCTCATGGTACTTTAGGCCTCTGTTCTCTGCAACAGAGAATGGAACCGAAGCTGGGGGACACTTCCACGTGCCTCTGGAGGCTGGCTCAGGGCTTCCGTGCCCCCTCCCGGCCTCAAATTCAGGCAGCAGTGGCCTGGGAAAGGCCTCCGGAGCCCGGATCGGGGTGTGGGGGGCGCGTGGAAGCATTCCTCAGTCTCAAATCTTGGGGGTAATGGCCTGGAAAAGGCCTCCAGAGTCCGGATCGGGCTGTGGCAGGATTCGGAAGGGTTCCCCAGCCTTAGATCCGGGCGGCAGCAGGAACTGCAGCAGAGAGGATACGGATCTTTTCGAAGTGAGTCCGGTGCGGCAGGAAGGGAGGGGGAAGCATGCGGTATCTTAGTGGGTCGGGGAGGCCTTGGAGGCCCTGTTCCATCACTAGGCCCTCCCCTCCATGACCTTCCCCACTCTGAGATAACTTATGTTTGCTTAACGAGCTGCATGCATTTTAATGAGCAAGGGAGTAATCTCATTCGAGGTACGAGATTCACTCTACAAGTTTTTGAGTTACAAGTGTAATGGGCAGGCTTCGTTACACTCGTAACTCAAGGACTACCTGTATTTCATCTCCCCAGATCTGTACTCTGGCTGGTTGGCCCAGGCTCTTGCTACTGATCTCTATGTTGAATTCTGGCTCAAGTCTCATGGTGTTTTGGCATCCAACTGCTCTGGACAATATAGAGTTTACAATGTGAAGCAACTGGCATTCCAGGACCCAGCCACCACCTTCTTTTCCACATCGGACCATTCCAAGTGGTGTGTTGGAATAGAGAGTGATTCGGAGTGGGCCTGTGTTGGAGACATGAACCGTAATCATGCAGAGGAATACCGTGGGGGTGGTACCATCTGTTGCCGTGATGTCACAATTTGGAAAAGCTTCCACTCCTTGGTACAGAACTATACAGATTGTGATACCAACAGGATACGGACTCTAATTGGCTAAGATTGTCTATATTATTAAGGGAGCAGAATTCAATTAATTGGGAAAGAGATTGATTCGAAGGCATAATAATGTCCCTGCCTATCTTCTTCACAGTATATTAACACCCTACCCAGCATAATGCAGGGAGTTGTGCTGTTGCGTTGGTCTCATTTTTCAGAAAGTTAATTTCCAGCAATGGTTTCTTTGCCTTCTGGACTGCTCCCATCACTATCTTTTTCCTGTTACATAAATTCCAAGGGGCTACATGAGCTACATGGAAAAATACAGAAGGAAATTCTTTTCCTGTAATAAAAATGTATACAGTGTTTATTTTGTATAAGTTTCCAAAATCGGGGAATTCCAAGGAAATATTTTTATGTGTGCAAATTCTATGAGTGTGAGAGAAATAGGCTGATCTAAGGATAAGCCTCCCTGGCCCCTTCTGAGTAACTGGAAAGCCTTTAACAAGGCCTTGTTAAATACAGCATCTCTTAAACCACAGCAACCACAAACTTACTGAGTAACTTCCACATGTGCATCATAATTCTGTAGATTTACAGAATACATGGTCCAGAAAGTAACCCAATTTGAAATGGAGCGACTTCCCTCCCCTCTCTTGTCCTTGGCTAGACCACGAATATTGTTCCATCGCCCAGCAGGTCATGCAAGATGATCGCCCACAAACACAGATGTGGATAAAAGAAGGAGAGACTTTCAGAATGAGAATAAAGTACCAGAGACAAAATGAATAAAAGCTAAAATGCTTTAAAGATGTGTTCTGATGTTTTCATCTTTAAACTCTTTAAATATCTGTTTTACAAAAACAGGCCTGATCAAAATCTCTTGTGCAATCTGGAATGATAAGATATTGCAACCTGCCATCTCCTTTGAATATTACTACAGATGAGAAGCCAGATGGGGATTTAGGAACATCTGGACAGCCATTTTAAGCAGGCCATAATCATAGTTGTCATAGTCATGAAGAGACTGGGCAGCCACTTGTCTAAAATGATACAGGGTCCCCTGCTTGAGCAGAAGGTTGGACTAGAAAATCTCCAAGGTTCCTTCCAACTCTTGTTATTCTGTATTATCTGAATGGATCAGAAGATAGATAAACTTCAGACCTTACTGAGCTGATGGGAGGAGCTTTCCAGATGTTACAGTAAAAGAGAAGCACATTTAACAAATACGCCACGGTGATGGTGGGGTGTTTGTTTGTTTTGCTTAATTTATTACTGTTTGTTTTGCTTAATTTATTACTGTTTGAAATCCAGTGACACTGACACAGTTACCCCTGCCACCCTCCCCTTGCTTTGGGGGGAGCAGCTGGCTGTTTGACCTGTTTCATAAAATACAGTACTAGGAAGTGGACTGCTTACACACATGCACCCACAGGTTAAAACTACAGTGATTCAATACTGCAACTGAAAATAGTACTGCCTTTAAAAAAAAAATCAAGTGTTCCCCCAGTCATAATTTTTTTTAAAAAAAAACAACAACAGTTAATGCTGTTACAAACGCTACTGATGTGAGGACAAGGCAAGACACAAGTAAGTCCTACATCTTCACTGCAGTATAAATATGGAAGAATTTATACAGTTTACCCACATCCAACACTACTTTTCTTTCTACCCATTGCAGCTAAAGGACTAGAGCACCTCTGCTTTGGAAAAACTGATGCCTGAGGTCTCCATCATGGAATGTCACCTAGTCATCTTCTGTGCCACTTCCTGAGCGATCCTAGGAGAGAAGAGGAAAATACTTTTTAGTTGTACCTTAATGTATCAGGTATCTTCCTGACTGTCCTGGGAAGTAGGTAGGCAGGCAAAAGAGCAGTAATGATCCAGGAAATCTCATGGACGAACCAAGGTCTAAAATTTTTACTCATTGTACCATGTAGCTTTTTGAAAAGTAGAACTTGGTTTTGTGTTTTCGTTCTGCTTATTTAAATGGAAAATGCCCTCTCTTTCTTTGACCATCTCTCTCCAACAAAAGCACTAGATCTCTCCTCCTGGGATCACTGATGACACCTTGGGGGGGGGGGAATCTATTGTTTTACCTACCTCTTCTTGCTCTTCCTCACTGTCATCATCACTAACCACGGGTTTAGCCCGGGACCCACGGCTGGTGCGTCTGCGGCCTTTCATTCGGTCTGGTACTTTTTCCTTTCTGCCCAGTTTAATCTTCACTTTGACAGAACGAGCTGGGAAGAACAGACAGAGCGAGACTGAAAAGCTGGCTATGAGTTTATGTTCCTGTTCCATTATGAATTATGACTGAAACAGGTTGAAATCTGTCCTAATTTTCGTGAGACATAGAAACAATTTTACTTATATATCTGTATTTCCAAACACTCCATTAATCTGCTTCACTGTATTCCTAAGCCTAATAACCTAGCTTGTTTTATGAAATAATCACACCAAAAACTCTTTTTCTTCTTATGAAAAAATCAAACAGCCTTTTATGTCCACATAAGGATGGTGCAAAAAGGGCAGGATGAGGCTTTCCTCACAAGCTCTGGATTCTAACCCTGTCAAATGTCAGCCTTTCTTGATGGCTCTAATTTCAGGCTTTCAGATATTTTCTCTATCAGCCCATCATAATTTTCGTACTTTTTCCTTATGTTTAACAAGAAGTACCTAGCCAGGTCTTGCTATCTCCAAAACCCAAACAGGATCACAGGTGGATGCATGGTCAGAAATATCAGGAACATGGAATACTATATCCAGCTCTGAGTACCAAGATTCAAGAAAGGCAGTGACAAATTAGAACAAGTTCATAAAAAGGCCACTAAGGTCACTTAAGATGTGAAATGTTTGAAAGCCAAGCCCTATGAAAAATGGATATCTTTAGTTTAAAGAAATATGACTTAAGAGAAGATATAATAGCCACCTTCTGATATGCTGCTAGAAGGGCCGCAAACACTTGTCTACTGAGCCACAGGAAAGAACGCGAACCAGTAAGTTAAAACTACAAGAAAGAAGATTTGGGGCAAATATTAGGAGGAACCTCCTGATTACAAGCTGTCTGCTACTAAAACAGTATAGGACATGAGCTCTTCATGGAGGATTTCAAAGGAAGGTTGGATGGGCATCTGTCAGAGATTCTCTTATGGATCTAGCACTGAGTAGAGGATTGAATGGCTTCTAAGGCAGGGCTTTTCAACCTTTTCACCAACTGTACCACTTTTAGGATATGGCAATATTCAAGTACCACCTAGCAAAGTGTCAAAAACTTGATGACCCCCCCCCAAAAAAGGAAAAAAAGTGATAAAGTAAGGTAGTCCTCGACTTACAACAATTTGCTTAGTGACTGTTCAAAGTTACAATGGCACTGAAGTGACTTATGGCCATTTTTCACATTTATGACCGTTGCAGCATCCCCAGGGTCATGTGATTTATATTTGGATGCTTGGCAACTGATTCATATTTATGATGGTCACAGTGTCCCAGGGTCATGTGATCCCTTTTTGCAACCTTTTGACAAGCAAAGTCAATGGCAGAGCTGCTGGGGGCGAAGGCGGGACTTCCTTCAGACCCTCCCTCCCTTTCATTCCAATCTCCCTCCCTCCTCTTTTCCTTCCTGTTTCCCTCCCTCCCTCCCTCCTTCCCTGCCTCCCTCTTTCTCATTCCCATCTCCTTCCTTCTGAAGGAAGAATTTGAAAACCCCCCCCGTATTTTTCCTCTTCCATATATTTATCAAACAAGGAAAAGCCTCCAGAGACAGAAAAGACATGCTGCTGAGGGAACTAGCTTAAAAAGGCACACCCCCTTTAAGAATTAACTACTGGCTAGAAAGGAAAGTTAAGGAGCCAGCAGCCAGCACTTAAGAAAAACAACAACAACAAATGTAGCAAGTACTGGCTGCTGGCTAAGGCAACCTCCCCAAATGGCTCCATTCATAAGTAAAGAAATGCTACAGGCAAAATCCATTCAGGACAAAAATACTTCAAAATCCCTTGCAGCAAAACTTACAGCTAACAACAGCAGAGCAATAGAATTAGAACCCAAAATCCAACACAGGACAAATAAATATCTCCTCTCGAGCAGCCGGCTTCCTTTTGCCTATTTCAAACGGTGGCGCTTCATTTTTTTTCCCTTTTCTCTTAAAGGTATACCCTCCCAGCTGGAAACCAAGCCCCTGGTTTTTTCTTTCAACACTTCCTTTCTCTTTCCCTCCCTCCTGCTCTCTACTTCCCTCTTTCTCATTGCCATCTCCTCCCTCCCTCCCTCCCTCCCTCTGTGCCTCACCTCCAGTCGATGCTGCCTTTCTTCATTCCTCGTGGAGGCGACCTCCCCAGCTGCGTTTCTTGCCTGTTTATCGCTGCCACCTGTGTGTGTGCTGGAGGCTGCCACAGAAGTTGTAGATCTGCTCCCTGCCGGCCTGTTTGATCTCCTCTCCTCTCTCCCCCCCTCCTCCTCCTTTTTCCTTCCGTGCAGCTCCAGCTGACTCCTCTTCCCAAGGCTGCATCTTTTTTTTCCCTCTCCCTTTTATAGCCTCTCCTGTCTCCACCCCCTCCTCCTCCTTTCTCTTCCAGGTGAGCTGGAAGTGCCTATCCTGGGGCCTTTGCCTCACCCCAGCAGCCCTGCAAGTCCCAAGGACGCTCTCACGACAAGTCCTGTGCTGTGCCGCTTTGGCTTGTTCCCTCCCCCGCTACACTTGGCTAGGCTGGGCAGGGCCGCGTACCACCTGCCATGTGCCAATGTATCACTTGGTGGTACACGTACCACCAGTGAAAAGCCCTGTTCTAAGGTATCTTCCAACTCTATAGTTCTATCACTGAAGTTGAAAAGTATCCCAGAGAAGGCACATTACTTCTGTATTGCTACCAGGAAAATGACACAGGTGTATCCATGAAGTTACTAGGAGTTCAATTCAACTGGAAGAAGCCATTTAGATTTCTTTCTAAAAAATTTACACATTTGTTTTGCAAAGAAAATAATGCTGAATAAAAACACTCACATTCTGATTCAGATCCTTCCTCTTCTCCCTCTTCTTCCTCCTCACTCTCTTCTCCCTCGCTGTCTTCCTCTTTTTCAATTTTTTGCCTCACGCTAGTAAAGACAGACTGCAGAACAATTGAGTCTTCATAAATCTGCAGGAAACCATAGAAGAAAGGAAGATGTAGAAATTATGATTGATCTAACACTTCCATTCCACTGGGCTAAGTTCTATATTTATCTTTAGTCTATGCCCTTAATTGTTATGATGGTTTTGTTTAAAAAAATGGGGTCATTCTTAATACTACTGGGGATTTATGGAACATTTTTGAGTTCTATCCTGTCATATATCTTGCTCTAATCTTCCAACAATCTTGTGTTCCATATGAAGTTGGGGTGAGAGAATAGAAAAGAGCTTTAAGAGATTCATAAGACTAATGGTTTGTCATACCTCTGCAAAGGAATTCTTGCTATATTTATTCTGCCTACAACCATGGTGTTATAAAAAGTACTGAACCCATCTGCTTACACAGCACAGAAACTATGCATCTCTAAAAACACAACTCAATTGTCCTAACTTATTTAACTAAAGGAGAATTAGTTCAACTCGCCATAGGGAGTAACCATACACTTTTTTAGTGTCAAGCACGTGCTCTAACTGCAGGAAGATGGCTTACCAGTGATCCTTCAAGATTGAAAGTCTGAGCATTCTGACATAGAAGCATGACATCCTTCTCCAAATCGTTTAGGCTGCGATATTTGTGGTTCCGGATACGCTCCTGAAAGTGAAGTGGGGGGCAGAGGAGAAACAAAAACAATGTTTTATTGAACAAAAGATTCAGATTCCTGCCTTCATTCACTTGTCATCAGAATGAGATGATGCCCCTATACATATGCATATTTCAGCAACTGAGAGGAGAAAAAGGAGCAATTCTTAAAGCTGAAAGGGATAGTATCCTCAAACATTATTTTAAAATTAAGAACACGGACAAAGATAGTTAGATCAGTATGGATTCTGTAAAACACCTGTGCTGTTAATTCACTTAAAAGATATGTAGAAACATCCATTGTACAATTATATTCAATTATACAATATTTACAATTATACAATATTTCAATAATACTGGCTTTGTGAGGGTATTGACTGAAACTCTGATTGTTGAACAAATGAACTTGCAAAACTGAATGAGCAAGATGGCTGTCTGAGATTTTGGCCCTTAAAAGGCCTCAAGGGAAATCCCTAATTATGTGACTCAATTGATGAGTAGGTGGATCTTTGGTAATCCAAACTATCCCCTTTGTCCTGAAACTAGTTTGAAAGCCTCAAGATGATGTAATGCTATCTTACAAAGTTAAAATACAAAGGGGAATAACTCAGGATCTAAATGCACATGAATCTTTTTGTTGTTGTTGAAGGGAGGGCATTTTGAAATTAAAATCTAAATTTATCTAAACAAGCAAATAAAATTCACTGAAGTTTTTAAAAAGTTACCTTCTCTAACTCAGAAGGGCTTCGTTCAGTAAATCAGAGATACTACAAACTACTACAAAGTCTTCCACCATCCAGTTCAGGAAACCAGCATGCTATTGCATTCTTTGAATGTATACACTTTAATACATTAAAATATATTAAGAACTATTTAAGACATACCCTATAACACAGCTTTAAAAAGATATAGTGAAATATTGATGGCTAGTATTTCCATGTTTCCAATGGGCTATATACCTTACCAAAGTTATAGTTATGTGCAACACTTATTTACAAGCCATCTAGCTGCATCAGAAAGTGTTCTCGGAAATAATGCAGAACGATGGGCATCCCACAGTTAGAAATTGCAATGGCACATGTTAAATTACGCTGCACTGGGAAATCAGTTTACTAACCTTGTTGTAGGCATTGAACTATGGGCTCAGCCTGCTCTTCTAAACAAAGGGACAGAAGGTAGGCATGTGATCTTGTGAGGAAACTCCTGTAGGTGGTTTCCCCATCACATAACCAATCTCAAGTCAGTCTTCTCAACCTGACTGGATATCATCTGCTAAGTGGGTATGGGAAATGAAATTGGCTGTGGTTATGGGCCACTCTGCTTCTCTCAGGTTTGTTTGCTCACATGAGGCAAAACTACCCTATTTGGTTCAAATCCAAGGTGCTGCATCCTGCTTAAGATGGGCAGGCCTATTTCATCATTCCTGTTATCAAGAGCCACTTTGGTATTAAAATGTTGAACTAGCAACTGGCTTTCTAGTGCCACCTTAGGCATAGAAGACAGCTGGGTGACTTTCTTAGCCCAACCTACCTTAAAGGTGGTGGTTGTGGGGAAAATAGGAGGTATGAGCATTATATGCGCTGCCTTGAGTTGCATAAATAAAGATGGGATATAAGTCAAGTAAGCAAATAAACAAACATTGGGCCCTTCTCTGAATTAGAGAAAGATAAACAACTCCTAAGGTACCTTTATCTTCTTGAAATCCACTGGTTTGCGAATGAGTTCATAATATTCTGGAAGCTCTTTTCGAGAAGGCAGTTGAATGAAGACTTCACTAAGCTGACGTCCACTGCTGCTACAAGGCAAGGTGAAGGAAAACATCTAAAACATGGCGTGCCTTTCCCAGTGCAGGCCAGTTCAGAGGCACCTGCCCTGGCTGTCAGGGACTGAAGAAGTGAAGTGAAATATGGAGACAATTCTATTTTATATTACTAAAGTGCACCTACTAATGGCTGATATGCTGGATTAGTAGCTACGGAGGAGCCAAGAAAGAGCCTATTTTACCTGCAGGATTAATGTGTATTTATTAATATGAAGCACAGCAAATCAATTTTTATTTATACAATGTGTAGGAAAATTTAAATCTATACCTACTTACTTCAAGCTGCAAATCTGATGAAAGTAGTTTTCTCCTGCTAGTTCATGTAACATTGGTTGTTTTTTTTAAATGTCGATTGACAAAATGTATTTTACCCCCTGCTTCCCTCAATATTTTAATTTCACTAAAATTATGGTTGGAAAGAAAAAGTTTGGTATCTTATTCTGGCATACTATCTTCCTACTGAAAATTGCTCTCCTCCCCCACTGTTAAGGTTTAATCATGCAAATATTTTCTGATGTGGCTCTGAAGCATTACATTAGCTGAAGAATTTGAAATCTTGGCATGCAATGGATGAAGCCTGTCAAAATACAGGAGAGCAGCACTGATGGGGTGAATCAGACCTGAGAAACAATATATGTTAAAACCAAAGCTTTATTTCACAATAGAAGAGAGGGAAGTGAACTGCTTGTCATAGGTCTGTCAAGACTGGAAGCTTAATAGTTTTATCTAACATTAGGCAACAATTATGTTTACTATAATGAAAATTCAGAGCTGTGAGGCTCTGGCGGAGAATGGTTTTAGAAGAAAGGATCAATGTTAGCCTTTTCCAATATGATGCCCTCCAGATATACTGGGACATCAAACTGGCTAGGAATTCTGAAAGTTGTAGTTCCAATTCAGTGGAAAGTGACATTGTGCAAAAGATCCACGTAGGGGAGGAAGACATTGTGAATGGTTTGCTGCTACCATCTCTGACCCTCTGAAAAATGGAGCTTTTGTACTCATAAGGCAGGGGGTGCGGTGGCTCAGTGGTTAAAGATGCTGAACTTATCAGCTGTAAAGCTGACAGCCGGATTTGAGACCCGAGTGCCGCATGATGGGGTAAGCTCCTGTTCCTGCCCACCAATCAATTCGAAAGCATACAAATTTGAGTAGATAAATAGGTACCACTTCAATGGGAAGGTAACAGCTTTCTGTGTGCCTCGGCATATAGTCATGTTAGCCACATGACCACAGAAATGTCTTTAGACAACACTGGCTTCTCTGCTAAGAAAGGGCGATAAACACCGCCCCCTAGAATCAAATGTGACTGGACAGGGGAAATCTTTATCTTCACTCATAAGGCAGCCAATATATTGGGTCACTGTTCCAGCATGACACTCATACTCACCCCATTCCACTTTTTCACTTCTCAACAATATCTCTCTGATATGCATAAGTTGGTCCTTGACTTGCAACAGTTCATTTAATGATCGTTTGAAGTTACAACGGCACTGAAAACAGTGAATTATGACCATTTTTCACACTTGCAACCACTGCAGCATCCCCATGGTCATGTGACCAAAATTCAGACACTTGGCAATTGACTCACTTTTATGACGGTTGCAGTGGCCCAGGGTTATGCCACCTTCTGACAAGCTAATCAATGGGGAAGCCAGATTCACTTAACAATTGTGTTGCCAACTGCAGCAATCCACTTAACAACTGTGGCAGGAAAGGTTATAAAATGAGGCAAAACTCACTTAACAACTGTCTTAATGAGCGACAGAAATTTTGGGTTCAATTGTGGTTTTCTATCGAAGACCACCTGTAGTCTTGGTTTTTCACATAAATCCCAGTATTTCACATCATGCTGGATTCCCCTTCAAGGTCCAGAGGCAGCAGAATCAATAAATATTTAGATACTGCTAAACAAACATCTGTCCAGAGGAGAAATACTGATGGCTGAGGATATGAAACTGTATAATTATAGGGGAGAAATGTCCCTTCTTTCGGTTACCTGTCTTTATACTTAATCACAGCATCTACAATCTTCTTCATTTTCTTAGTGAGGTTGGGTGGATTTGGAGAGAGCTTCTCAGCAGGGGGCCGGCCTCGCTTTTTCTGCTTTTTGCTGTCATCGTCTTTGTCCCGGCTACGAGTGCTGGTGGTTGGGGTTGAGGAACTGACATCCACGTCTCTCTTGCGCTTGCGGGAGGATTTCTTCTGACGCACCTCCTCTTCGATCTCCTCTAGGGTACCCTCTTCTATGGCCTATAGATGATAAGAACAGCAGTCAGCCACCCAAGTACAACAAAAAGCGAGCGGGACAAGAGCACACCGTGAAATGACTGAACGTGAACATTCACACACAGCCGAGCCACCTAAGCACAGTGAGGCAAATGGGATGTCTACATGGGCTGCTTCCCCAAAGGCATCACTTCCCAGGGTAGTCAGTTATGGATCATGGAAGGCTGCAACACTAAAAGGTGGAAAGGAAAGCTAGTTCTCTTACCTACAAGCTTTTCTTCTCATGTTAAACAGGGCCAACAGGCAGAAGACTCTGTAGAAACCATGCAGAGCAGGTTGTGGGGATGCCCCTTCCTGCCAGTTCTGTTGCAATTTCTTCCAAAGCAGCAAGGAGACCTGAGGCTACTAACCACCCGTTAGCCATAAATTTTTATGCTTCAGATTGCACAGTAAGAGAGGAAAAGAAGCAAGTTGACTGAAGGCCATGTATAACAGAAGTAGGAAAACTCAGAAGTAAAACTACCCATCTTTCATTTTTATAGTCATACATGGCTAGAGGATCTCACTTACTCAACATTCAAAGGAACCTAGAGATGAAACTGCAACAGCTGTGTAATGTCAGCAAATCATAGAAAGTCTTTACATGGAGAATGGCCTGCCAACATGGTTCATCATTTGTACCTTACATGACATTTAAAGTAAGCAGAGTTCCTGACCTCAAATAGCTTTGTAGGACCTCTTATGAGATGTACTTTATGAAAAAGAATGAAATCAAGCAGACCATTTTTTAATATTGCAATACAGAAATAAAAAGCATTAACTCCTTAAAATTCTTAATTGGTAGCATCAAACGTCTAACAGCCTGGGAGAAGGAAGCACTTAATTTTATTTGCAGTCCTTCTTTTATCTACCAAGCCCCAGCACTATCTTTATACTTGCTGTACTTTTTCTTTGAAATAATTGTTTGGCTCCAATTCTATCCATAATTTGCTAGTTCAGACCCTAAGAGAAAACTGGTTAATTAACCTACAGTGAATTATGGCATACTGAAAATAGATGTGGGAAAAGGAATGATAGTTTAATTAATTAAGATATATGCATGTAAATAGGTCCAACAATTCTTCATTCCACCTTGAACATCTAGGTTTTAAACTCAAGGCACGTTCAATTTATGACTGAAATCCCACTTTTTAATGAATAGGAGACCGCTCTGTTCTTCTGATCTTGGATAGTGGGAAATATAGCAGGGTTCCTCATGACCCATACTTCTCTTTGCCCAAAAAATATATACGGCTAGGAGAGAATCATTGGTAGGCAAATATGTAGCATTAGACTCAATATATTAATGAGCTATTCTTGGCAGTTTCAAACAAGGGAAGCAATCTATTTAATTATGCTATTGTTTGAAGAGATCAAGGAGAACAGAAATGCGCCTTGGAAATTACAGCCTGAGATCCCAAGGCCCTTTTTCATTACATCTAGCATCAGCCACCCTCCCTGCAACAAGGCAACAACATGTACAACCATGGGGTGTTTTCTGACCTAGAAAAAAACTAGGCCATAGACATCACAATGCCAGCTGATAAGGAACTGAAATGTAGAATTTGTTTGTCTTATATGGAGTCTGATAAATTTGGAAAATGGTGAAGAACAAGTGTAATAGAAAGGAAAGGTTCTTGACTGAATGTAAGCAAATACTAGCTCAGAGATCTCTTTTTGTTTTATTTTTTTAAGGCTTGGCCTTTGAGAGACAGCTACAACAACTCTGATTTACTCCATTCTTCAAAACAGTAAGAGAGACAACTTCTACATGAATTCATGGAATGGGTCTCTTTTATTATACTACAAGTAACGTATTTCAACGTTGGCTAATACACAGAGCAGTGCAGAAACCTGACATACACAGAACTTCTTGTTCTGCATTTCTCTCACAAATGGAACAAAAATACAAGGATGGGCAAGACTGTTTCTGCTCAGTTCCTTCCACTGTACCAGCATTTCACCCCTTAGCTTAGCCAAAGTCTCCTCCAGAGAAAGGAGAATGGGATGTAATTAATCAAGGAACTATGAACAATTGTACCTTCCATTCTCTCCTGGTGTCTATGTGTCTATTAGTGACTAATTTGTGGATATCTGGAAAAGATGTAAGACGTGGAATACTGCTATGCCACTGACTAGGCCAGTGGTGGCGAACCTATGGCACGGGTGCCAGAGGCGGCACTCGGAGCCCTCTCTGTGGGCACACATGCCATTGCCCCAGCCTTGCCTCCCCCAGCGATCCCCTCCTCTCCAGCAGCCCCCCTGAAGGAGACTTGCCCTTGAGCGTGGCCCACATGGAGCAGCGCAGCCAAGGACATGGCAGCCAGGCAGCACAGACAAGACTCTGCCCTCATACCCTATCATGCAGTTGATGGTGCAGGGCGTGGGCAGAGGGTGTGGCCGCCATAGCGCTGCTGGGCTGCCTGGGCGATCTGTGGCGGGCCCTGGAGGTGGTGAGTGGTCCTGTGGGCAGGCGGGGCAGGGGATGGGGGGTGGAGTGGGGGCGGGCAGGAGGGGTGGAGTGGGGGCGGGGGCGGTTTTTGGGCACTCGGTCTCTAAAAGGTTCGCCATCACTGGACTAGGCTGTTCTGGCATGATTATTAAATCTCTTCCTAAAGGCTGAAGTAAAATATAAGTAGGCTGGAGCCATATTGGAATCTTGAGAAGTGTCCTGTACATATTTTATACTTCTGAGGATGCTGCCTGGGCTCCTGAAGAAGGTGTCATATGATTTAAAGGCTGCAGGTATATAAGGCTAAGAGAAAACCAATAGAAATTTGCTGGGGACTAAAAAGAAAAATCTCTGTGGGACAGAACTAGAACCTCCTTCTTCATAACTGTCACATAACAAAAAGTTGCCTCAGTTTTGAAGCAGAAATAATTTCACTTGCAAGCCTCTATTGTTGATGAGGCAGCCTGGTTCCTTCTTGATATTTTTGATTAATGGCTAGCCTCTCCAATGGCAAAGTCTTGTAGCAAGTGTAGTCTGAAACCCAGAGGGCACCAGGTTGTCCATTTGGGAACACAACCTTCCTTCTCTTTGAATCCATAGCTCAGCTATTCAGAGTTGCTGAATACTTTTGCAAGCAGGAATTTTCAGGGCTAAAAAGAAAGGAAAAGCCATAAAGGAGGTTTGGCCCATGTAATTCATATAATGTATAAAAGGTAGGTAAGGGAGCTATCATTCTATTAGCAGGGCCCATCTTAGAGAGGGCTGCCATCACTGAGTTTGCCTTGTGGAGCCTTCTTGCAACAACCCATTCATACATTTGAACCCCTTTTTATCAGCCAGCATTTGCCACATTGCAGAGAGAAGCCAAGGTTCCCGGTTTAACATGTTGTGGACCTTCACTGGTACATGAAACAGAACTGGAGAAAGGGCAATTAGGCACACAACTCCATTATATAATAAACTAGATCTGAGTAATTTTCCTCCTACAAAATGGTTAGCTTCCTGTTTTCTGTTATGGCAATTGTTGTTATCCTCCCAGCAAAACCTACGTATTGATTCAATACAGTTATGGGAAGTGCTTTTGTTCCTCTTAGTTAGCTGTTCTTTTGTTAGAGGAAGGCTCATTTGTTTGTGACTTATCTCTAAAAAAACCCACCTCTTATTGATCTACATGGCATAATAGTAGCACCTGTTTAACATTTTATATCTAACTTGCATACTTTTGTGCAATTTTTAGATTAGAAAATGAACTCATTAGATCTACAAAAAAAATAAATAACAAAGAGATCTGCAATAAAAGAAGTAGAGGCAAAAACCTTGCTTGGCAGGTCATTCTGATTTTACTTTATGTTTCTGTAGTAAAGTGTTGAACGCCATTCCCCTTTGCTAAAACATTTTACTTTTTGACATAACTTTGTGTAGAAGCAAAAAAGACTAGGCTATCTTTCTCCCTGCCACCCTCAAACATGGCATAAAACAGAAAACTTGGTCTTACCTTCTTTGTTTCTACTTGTTTGATAGGTAGCAGTCCAGACAGAAGGCATATTCCCTGCCCAGCCAATGGGGGCAGATGCTAAGGAAAATATAAATGGGCTGGACTAAAAGGTCACCACCTCTTCCTCTGGACAACCAGTCACTCTTAGCCTAGCAATAAGGAGCCCACCCACCAACAGGCCCCATAGTGAACAGGTATCCTAGAACAGGCACCTGCTGGATTACTGCCCATTAAAAAACAGAAGGAAAATTAATAGTTAAGACCAAATTTTCTTTTCCATTTGTTGCTGGGCAGTGGTCCAATCACTGGGATGATTCAAGAGGTCCGTTGCTTTACCTACATGCAAACGATGTCACCATTTTGCTGTAGGCTCTGTTCTTAGAATTATTTCATTTGTTAAATAAAAGTGTTGAATGCCTCAGTAAGAAGGCGCCCGACGAAGCTTCTCTCCTGTATCAGTGAGTCATTTGCAAATTTCACATAAACCTATAATAGGACTTGATCTTGATACATTGACGCTCTTCTTATTCCCATTTTGTATTTATTTAGGAAGTGAATAAACAGAGTGTCCCTCCATAAGCCCACACACATAATCTCTACTTTCAATGCCCAAAGGCTGATTTGGTAATATCATCACGTTTAAATTAATCCATTTTCTTGACAAACATTAATTTGGAATATTCCACATTTGATTGCAGAAGTCAACTTCTTTCCACAAAAATTATTACTGAAGCGAATGTAATTATTGCCTTTTAATCTTAAATATTGAACTGAAGCCATGAAAACTGCTGGTTGTATGTTGACTTTTCTTTTAATCAGCAACTATCTTGTAGCATTGAGGCCATCACTTTTTTTATCTGTAATGCATATTCACTGCTTTTTCAGCCATATAAGGAACTGCTGTTTCCACAGATTGGAGCCTACATGTAAAATTATTTTTTTAAAATCCAAAGAGAGAAAAGCCCAGACTTTCAAGTATATCTTCAGCAATGCTTTAAGTTCACTTCTGATCCAAACTAATCCAGTAAGTACCGTAGTTCTCTTCCTGCTGACAGAGACCGAAGCTGTTCTGCTAAGGATAGGAAAGTCAAGGAATTCTGGATGGCTCCAGATCTTGCATGAATTCCAAGTTATAATACCCAAGTGTAATTTGAAAGCGTAAAGGTGAAATCCAGGATTCCCAGTTTCGTAGCCTTGTATCTGTCGACATAGTTACAGTTTTATGGGGACTAGCAGTTTAGGAACCATCACTTCAAATTCTGTAACATCAATTAATCTCCTTCCCTTCAGCAAAACAGACATCCATTTCAGAATCAGATGTTTTTGAATGAGGAAGTTGAACGAACGCCGATCTTCATAACACCGTCAATGTAGCAGTTTCATGTCCACCATAATTATAGAAGTGAATCTATTAAGACTCAGCTAGTAATTCTGCCTGATATGTTGCAATCTTGCTGACATATCCATCTATCCTTGACTTGGGTAAGAGCCTAGTAAAAGTATGGCCATTATTGATGAAATCATCATAATCACTATAAGAAACTTGATAAGTACCCCAAATAGCTAAGCAGAAAAGCAACTGCTATTTTATAAGTTGCCTTATGCCAATATCAGATGAAGAGCAATCTGTACTGAGTGGGTGCAGCAATACAAACATTCAGATGCAGGTTTTCTCAATCTCTAGTTTACCCATAATTTTTAAAATGGGATTGGACCAGAGACCTTGGATATGCAACCCATCATAGATTTCAATATGTTCCACCCTCCAAATCCACCGTCAGAGTTTGTTTGAGCGAACATGGTATGGATTACCTAGAATTTATAACTGATTTCAAAAGAATCCCACAACGAAGGAATGCTTTGCATGGCATATCTGATCACTGTAGTCCAAAAGCATTTATTCTGATCTGCATCAGAACAGAATTAAAATCTCAGAGAAAAATGGTCCTATACCATTATTTTTTTCCAATAGCACACTTTAAGGCAGAGGTGTCAAACTTCCCGCCCGTGGGCCGGTTGCATCATATGGAGGCTGCGCCCACCCCAGCTCCAGCAATACAAAAAAAGTCGCAATACGTCAGACACGTCACGTGACTTGGCAAGTTTGACACCCGTGCTTTAAGGTGTACAACAATTACGTATTCCTTTGAAGATAGGGAGTTTCAATTCATTATTTGAAAGAAAAAAAATCTTATCATTATATGATAGCCTCCATGCTTCTTCAAAAGAAAAAAAAACAGGCCATGTTATCTCTGGAAAAGTATGAACTTATAATAATAGAAGTTATAGCTAAATTTCTGCCCCGAAGGAATTATATACAACAAAGGAAGTTTAGTACAAAAATGCCAGGAAACAAACTGCAGGTTACTTTGACTTCTTTGATTTCTTAAGAGAGATAATTTTTCACATGAGGTCTTCTTAGTGTCTGCTATAAAAAGATTCCAGTTTTTAACTTCACACTGTTTTTCCTGTGGTCCAGTTTACAGAACTCCAGCAAGAATGAGTTAATGCCCTCTATGAGTAAGAGGAACAAAGAACAACAAGTGCTGAGTGGAGCAGGCACATCAAGCAGGGATGCTTTCTGTAGCTTATCCTTAGAAGTGTACAAAAATGCCTGGAAGCCTGGGCTTGCCAGGATGACCTTTGGTAACAAGACAGAAGAGAGGAGAACATCCTAACAAGATTCTCTAGCTCCAAGACTGAAAAGATGAATTACGGCAAAAACTTTTGAGAACGTTGCATGAACAGTCATATGTCTCCTTCTTAGCTTCAATCATCACTCTCTCCTCTTAACACACTTCAGCGGTAAACAGAGCAGAAAGGTGGGGATATAAGTAAAGCACAAAGCAACCATCTTTGGGTTATTTTACAAATGAATAGTGTCCTAGAAGATCACAGCTAACTAAGCCTGCCCTTTTCTCCTGCAGTAGTAGTGACTGGATCACGGAAGGAAGGGTGATGCCTCCTAGTCTAGCTCAGGGACAGCTTTTTCTCCCCATCCCCCACCCCCAGTCTGCCTCTTAATGGCCAAAGACGGAGAACATCCAATCTCTGGATCACTGCCCAGCAACAAATAGGATGAAATGTTTGCTGGGACAGGCAAGAAGAGGGCACACTCAGCTGCATAGTAAGTAGGCTTTCTGCATCTGAAATGTTTGACATCTGTCAAGGAGATCAATTGAATTTAAGTTTAGCAACATGGTTCCACACAGTTGAGTTGATAATACCCAACAGAAGTTTTGAATGGCACCGAAGACATTTATTTTTAAAACATACCACCGTGTTTAATACAAAAAAGTAGGGATTAGCAATGGAAGAGTTTCACTGCACACGATTAGAAATCGTCAAAAGAACTGTATCAAAATTGAAATTTGGTTGCGTAAACTCAGCTAACTCTCAAAACTTCTTGTGTTGGGTATTTTCTCAACATTCAGACACACAGACAACACAGAGATAGGTAGAAATAAAATTTGAGAAAATCATTGGAGAACGATGCTGTACCATGTATACCTTGAGCCATTGCTTCTCAGTCAGGGAATCACTATAATCCACTTCCTTACGGTGACGGGAACCTCTACCAAACATCTTCTCTTCCTCCTCCTCACAGGTTAGTCTTTCTACTTCTGCATCGTCTTTAATTATCCAAGAGGGCAACTCATCCTCTTCCATCAATCGTGGCTTTCGCTTAGGATTGCGGGCCTCCTCTCGCCTGCGATCTAAATCCATGCGCTGCAGAAGGAGAACAGCAACGTAAACTACATGTGGTATTGCCTTGGACTTCTAAGCTTTATGCTCAATATAGTCATTTACGGGAAGGAGTGCAAGTCTATTATTTCAACTTAACAAAGTCCTCTCAGTCTTAATTAAAGAGGAATTATGAGGTACAGGAAAGCCATCAGTCTTAAATGTTTGGAGTTAATTTTGCAAATTAGTTGGAAAACTATTAAGAGATTCTGAATAACTAAACAATACTTGCAATTTTTTGTGAAGAATAAAGTCTATAATAGTCTGTTTAAACATTCAGATATGATGGAGTAAACTTTTCATTATTACCAAGCAAAATGCTGGAATATGGATATATTTAAAATCAATCAATCAATCTCTGCCTTAGAGTGAGATTATCTCTTTTCATGGAATGGAAGAATCTTTCAGCTTTCCATCTTTATTCTTTATTCCAATATTTATTCTATTCTAGACTCTAAAATACAACAATATTAGAAACAGAATGAAATGACACACTGGTGCTTCCCACCTAGCGCCACTTTGAAGTCCACTATCAGGTTGGGAAAGGCTGCTTTAGATCATCAAAATGTAAGTAAATCAAAACTATGCACAACAAACTGGCTCTTCATTAAAAAAGTGGTTCCTGAGATCTAAAGGGATGAAAATGGACTGCAGTCTTATTGGTCTCAAGATTTTTTCCCCAAGTTTTTTCCCCAAGTTTCTTGGTTTGATAAATTTTGAAACCTGAAACATCACTTCAAGTATATTCCAAGTTTTTTTTTTTTAAAGAAACAGATTTATACAGTTATGTGAAAACACATGATGAACGCAGGTATACTTTTTTCAAGAATTCAGAAAACTGTATTGGTCTCAAATTAACACTGCTATATTGATATACATACAATTTCAATATGCTACAATACACATTGGTTTTTTGGGAAGTAAGCTGCCCAGTCTGGCTAGTATTTTCTTCCCCATGCAATAGTTGAGCATGGAAAAGAACACTCCTGCTTGCCTATGTCTCTCATCACTTCTTATATAAATAGTTAGGCAAATAGTTGATGTTGGCTCATCTCAATAAGTACAGCAATAATAAAAGTGGTTGTTCTTGGATGAGACCACCAGAGTCTCAGGAATACAGGTTAGACTGGGAAATTAGAAGGCAGGGGACACTCACTTTTGGCATCAGTGCTCAATTTTCCCAACATGGATGTGCCCATAAGCCCCTTGGAGTCAGGTTTGACTCAAAAGACACTTCACTTTCCTCCAGCATTGAAGGCAGGGGACTTCTGTTTTCCATCCTTTTCCAACTTCCTTTCTATACTTGGAAGGAGAAGGACTTAAAACTATTGGACGAGGTGGGACAGAAATGGGTGAGAGAAGGGGGCATTTTCCTTAGGAAGGCAAACTGCAACTTGGAGGGACTGGAGGTAGCCTAAAGTGAAAACAGCTGTAGAGTGTTATTTGTCCCAATTCCAAAACAAGTCATAAGTATCTATATGAAGTATACATGCTGGGACAGGATTTTGCTTTGGGGTTTTGCTTATTCTTGCTTGCTCTTTCATTTTTTGAGTGGACATTTTTATCAATAACCACCATCTTATCCTCCCCAGTAACATGAGGCTTCTCTTGGATCTCAAAACAACCTTAAAACAGCACAGAGAATAACAAGCGTCTTGTGTGTGTGTGTGTGCACGCGCGCGTGCACGCATATGAAGGAACCCTGATGCTTATATTGAATTAAATGATATTTGGTTAATGCCCTGGAACTATTTTTCTCATTCCAATATTTTTGTAATAATAATCTGGTCAGATGGTAGCTTTTCATTTTTCCAAAATTGGGCAAATACTATTCTCGCAGCTGTTAATACATGTAATATTAGGTATTCATTCTCTTTTCCATAATTAAATCCTAGTATTCCTAGTAGAAACAGTTCGGGTTTAAATTCTATCTGCATTTTAATCATCTTTTCTAACCACATATGAATCTTAAACCAATATTTCTTTGCATTAGGGCATATCCACCAGACATGATAATACGTCCCTGGTTTTTGTTTACATTTCCAACAAATATTTGATACATTTTTAAACATTTTCTCTAATCTAACTGGTGTCATATGCCATCTATAAAACATTTTATATAAATTCTCCTTATATGCAGCTGCTTTAGTAAGTTTGATATTTCGATCCCAAAGTTTTTGCCAATCTTCTAAATCTATGGAATATCCAAAATTCTTTGTTCATACTAACTATTTTTCTCAAGTATTATGAAATCTAAAGGATCTGCGAAAGTCTCGTCAATATGTATTTCCTCCCTTTTCTGCACATATGCCCTGCTTTCCTCTGGCATGAGTGCATCCACTACTGACTTCCTAAACAAAATGTAGCTAACTTAATGTTCCTCAAGTAATAGGCTGAACCTAGAAGAATAAAGCTGACCTCTATGACATACAACAAGCAAAATAGCCATTCTCACCATAAAAAGATCAAACTCTTCCTCATGTCGGGCAATCATTTGGTTAACCGTTTCATCATCTGGCACTTCATCTTCTTCCTGAAAAAATTCAAAGTTTCCTCCATTTAATTCCTCCACGGCAGTTTGTGTGCTTGGAGTTTTATACTGATTGTTTTACCATCTCAAGTTTGATTCGGCTACGTGTGAAAATATATCCGGTGGTCTCAATGGACGGTAGCCACGTGGCAGACGCTCCCCATCGGTGTTGGCCGATTTTGCTGACCGTCTTAAACAGTGAGGACTAAGGGCTGGACGGGCGCAGCGACTGAATTACCCCTCTCACCTTTAAAGGTGGCTCCTCCGAGTCGGAGTTGAGGCACAGGGTTGAGGCAGTGTGGGGAAAGCTTGCGCTGCCACTGCCGCTGCCCGTGCTGTATCTGGTCTGTGGATAGATAGAGGACTTCAGTCTCCAGGGCTGCCAATCCAGCACCTTTCACTGACACTCAAATTCACTTCTTAGGGTTCATGCCGCTTCCTTCCAGCCCACAGTCCCTTGGCCTCAGGATTACAGAGAGCAGGGATCGAGGCACAACACATTCCTCAGTCACGCATGAGAGATGGAGAAAGCCGCCTCCCACTCTCCTCATCGCCCCTTACCTCATCTTGCTCCTCATGCTCTAAGATAGCCTGCAGGAAAGCTCGCCTTTCATGACTGGAGGACTTCTGGTCAAACATTCCAGCCTGGATCACCTTCTGATCAACATTCAGCTTGTACTTGGCTGCAGCAAGTATCTTCTCCTCCACACTGTTGACAGTGCACAGACGCAGCACTCGGACTTCATTTTGCTGCCCAATGCGATGTGCTCGATCCTGTGCCTGCAGGTCCTGGAGTGGTAGACAAAGACCTTCCTCACTGTTCAAGAACTACACTGAACTTTCTTTCAGTTTCATCCTAAAGACAGAAGAGGCAATGTTGTACCAGCAGAGGGGCCCAAGACCGGATAGCTCTTCCTTTTTATGAAAACAGCATTCATGCCTTCCAATAGACTCAAGACCAAAACATGCCTCTGGTGACCCATTTCTAATCCCACAGATCAGAGGAAATGCTTTTGTTTAACTCTCTGCTCCTCAGGTCTTTGGCTGACCTGTGAACTGGCAGGGTGTCCCAACCTACCAACTGAAGACTAATGCTCTGTACTGTACCAGGGTTATCCAGGTAATGTTTGGAGGATAGCAGCAACATCAAGGGATGCTCTTAGTCTCTAAATCTTTATTGGTGTAATAATCCTTATTAAACTTGCTTGCTTGCTTGTTTGTTTGTATTTTATACTTTTTACTATCCATCTTTCACAGAGATATTATTTTACTTGATAAGTATTTCTTGGTTTCACTCCTTTGATTTGGCACATGAGTGCAATTTTGGTTTTAATTAGCAACTAAAGGTTATTCTTTAACTTTGCTTCAAGATAGTTAAGACTGTGCCCTGAAGAAAGACCAGATTAGGATGAGAGTTTATACTCTCAGCTCCCGAAGAGATCTATTATCAGATGAGAATTTTTTCTCTCCTAAAGGCACAGAAGAACTATTTATGACAATATTTTAAAACTGTAATTATGCCAGAATTCTCATTATTGATTGTAGGCAGAAGGGGAATGCCAAAGATTCAAATATTCTTGAAACTAAAAACTACAATACATATGCCTTATACGTATAATCCATATCCCTTGATGAAATATAAAAATTCCTTTCTTTTGCATTAGTACTATATATGTAGCATTACGAACTTTAATTTCACCAATAAAGATTAATTCTGTACTTATAACTATTTCCCCCCCTGAAACATAGTAAAAACACTTTTGTTACCTGGTGAGGATTCCAGTCACTGTCAAAAATAATCACAGTATCAGCAGATTGCAGATTCAGTCCCAAACCCCCTGCTCGGGTGCTCAGAAGAAAAATGAAATATTCAGAGCCTGGCTCATTGAAAGTTTTCAGCAGCATGCCACGATCTTCAGCTTTAGTTGTTCCTTTAAAAGCCCAGAAAAGAGAGGGTTTCCCCTGTGCTACGATATTTTATTTCAGGATAAAAGCTATTACAAAAATTGTAAAACTCAGAAGAAGTCATAGAGAAAAAACATATTTCAACAAAGCTGACAAAAGTGACATTTTAGAGTTATTACCTATGGAGAAGTTACATAATTGAAGCATTCAATTCTTAACAATATTAGAGAATTTACAAGGATAAATCAGATGGTTTGGATTGGCAGACGTTGTTTGGGCAGAATCATCATGATAACACATGGAAGTTATATTTTGTTATAACCTGCTTTCTTTCACTTCTGAACTTTAAAACAACTGGAGAATAAGGTAAAACTGAACACTCAAGAGAAGCTGCACTTAACAGATACTAGGTATTTTCCTCTATGCCATTCCCAAAATTATTTGGACAGGTCTGTAATGCCCAAATCATGATATTAATTAACATTTGGGTCTTCATTCAATATCAGCAACATCAGCCAGTAATGAAACAGATTAATCTCTCAGGGTATTGTGGCTGTTAATTATAGTCTTAAGTGGGCAACCACAAAGAAGTGCATATTTTAAAAAATAAAAAAGTTTATTCTTTCCTAACATTATGGTAGTCAGTTCAGTATAACCTGACCATCATTTTTGAGCAATGTTGGCATTTAATCATAAACTTTAGCAGATTATGACACAGGGCTACATAATACACTAGACTGCAAATACTTCAAACTACATAGCATCCACTCATAGTCACTCTATAAATGCCTCTTTTCCTACCTCCACACAAAGTATTATGGGGAGAGGCAAAAAGCTCAGGATCCACTTTTGATCTCTCTCTTTACAGAAGGGCAAATTAATGCTGGATTAAAAAACAAAACCTTAATCGAGAGTTGAAAAGAAAGAAGGAAAAAGAGAGAAAGAATTTTTGCCCTGGCTGAACAGGACTAATCTATTAGAACTAGACCAAAAATATGTCACTATAGATCAGTGATGGCGAACCTTTTAGAGATCGAGTGCCCAAAAACTAGCCCCCCTGCCCACCCCCACTCCGCCCCAGACCACCCCCACCCCGCCCGCAGGGCCTCTCACTGCTTCCATGGCCCGCCACAGATCACCCAGGTGGCCCAGCAGCACCATGGCAGCCACGCCCTCCGCCCACGCCCTGCAGCATCAACCGCACGACAGGGCACAAGGGCAGAGTCTTGTCCCCGCTGCCTGGCTGCCATGTCCTTGGCTGCACTGCTCTGCGCGGGCAGCACTTGGGGGTGACTCTCCTTGGGGGGGCTGCTGGTTAGGAGGGGGCTGCAGGGGGAGGCGGGCCTGGGGCGACAGCACGCGTGCCCACAGACGGCTCTGAGTGCCGCCTCTGGCACGCGTGCCATAGGTTCGCCACCACTGCTATAGATTATACCTACCAGAATATATGACAGGCTTCCTATTCAATCATTGCTATTTTAGGATCAGAAAGAGATTCAAAATATTTCTTATCCAAAAGAGATTTATAATTTCAGGAAAGCATTAACAAGAATAGTCATTGGGAAAAATGATTCTACATTACACACTGGTTTGAGACATCAAAAGGAGCATGCTGGAAATGGAAAAGTTAGCCAAATGAAGGATCCTGGACCACTGAAGAAATGGAAAGAACAATTTGTATTTCTTTTAATAAATGCATCCTTCAAACACCACAACTACCACTAATCAGATATGCCTTATACAATTGTCATTTATGTGGAAGGGAATTGTTTACAAAATATTCTCAGGCAACTGCTGTAAGCTTGAGCTCTATATTTCAGAAAGTTTTTAAAAATATGGAAAGGGATCTTGGAGATCTTCTAGTACAACTTCCTGCCTAGTGCAGGACAAATGACTATCCAACCTTTGTTTGAAAACCTCACATGATGGAGCACTCATAGCTTCAAGAATCAGGCTGTTACATTGCTTAATAGTTCTCATAGTCAGGAAATTTCTCCTTAGTTCAAGTTTGGATCTCTCATTGCAAAGTTTCCACCCACTCATAGCTCATAGTTTCTAAGTTTCAGATATTATATATTGTCAAGTCTGCTTCTTTGGCTTGGCACCTCGCTAGCATCCTGCCATCAATGGCCATGGGGAGGGGACATGGGGAGAGACATATAGGCAATAAACCGGTATGGGGATACAATGGGAAATAGGGAGGGGGGATAACAGTTTGATGAAGATCAGGGAAACAGGGAACCAGTTTGTGCCAGCACACAAGGCCACGCACCCTGAGAATAGAATGTGGTCTCCCCCAAACATCTTAGTGTTTCTCAAAACACCTATGCGGCTCTTAATTGGCTGAAGACTAACTGGTCATGGGGAGAGGACTGGGATGAGGGGGAAAAGTTTGTAGCTTTCTGCGTGGGAGACTTAGTTCTGGGCTGACTTTACTGAAACCAGCAACCTTTAGTAAAAGAACTTATCACTTCACCCAAATGGAGTTGAGGGTCTTTCTTTCCTAAAGGACTGGACTGGGGCAGGCCTGACACATACTTTCAAAAGGCTTATACCAGCACTGGAAGGAATTTCCCTTTGCCCATACCGAAAGAGAATGAGCCATGTCTACTTTTAAAAAGCAATTCCACTTTCACATTGAAAATATGACGTTTTTAATGTGGTTTATTATATATTGACAGGAGAGGCCTTATGGGGGAAAGGTATGGACCTATAAAGCAACTAAATCCTTTTTAAAGCTATATGATCAAAATTTCAAACTACCATCAATCCAACATCTTAAGAGAGCAGTTCTTAGCAGCTTGCTTATATTAATACTGTGAAGAACCATCCAGCTTGATTCCACCCATACTAAGTGGTGTAGCCACCATCACGTCACTCTTGTTTTCCCCTGAGGTTTAGATACATTCTGCTCTTCACAGAAATGATCCAGATCCTAGGCCTGAGAAAAAGCTTGTGTAAAGAGAAAATGAAAAAGAATGGCTGCATTCTTAGTGTGTGACCACTGCCAACACGTTGGCTTAACACGGCAACTTGCACAGACAATACATACGTAAAACGGTATGCACAAAGAACTCTTATTTATCTTTGATGCAGGAAAATTATATTCCACTTTTTTAACATTCAGTTCAAAACTTCATAATTAGGTGACTCTTCAAGCCAATTAGTACTTCCCAATACAAAATTTGCGCAGCATGTAAGTCTACTGACAAACTCACCATCTAGCCTGAGGTATTTGAATCCACGGTAGGCAAAATAATCTTCCATTATGGTCATGAGGGAGGTCATCTGACAGAAGAGCAATACCTTGTGGTTGGTAGCTCGCAATTTGGGAAGAATACGATCTAGAAGCTCAAATTTCCCAGAAGCTCGATAGAGATCAAGTCTAGGTTATGTATGAGAAAGAGAAAAAGGAAGATTTTTTTCCCCACCAAAACAACCAGTTTCACATGTTTTAACTTCGGGATTCCCCTTCTGTATCAAACATTTGCAGAACAATCTGTCTTGTTTTGGACCACAAAAGTCCTATATTCTTAAGTTTGAAAAAACAGGATACTCTAATTGCTCTTATGAATAAACCAGGCCTTTGCTGTTGCCTTATGAATAGTAGCTATTCTCTACTATTACAGATAGCTGTTGGGTTACGAGAACTGGAACTGGAACCGGAATTTCCACTGCTAAGCAGGGCAGTAGTAAAATACAATATCATGTGATCATATTGCTTAGCAAACAACAATCTCAACCATCCTGGTTGATGCTGTAACCCCAAGATGTGCAGGTTGTTAAGCAGGAAGTGGAAGGAATCCCAGCTAAACAATTCAGGGATGCTGCAAGGGAGTGGGGGAAGACAGAAGAGATTTTGGGAGGACTGATATAGGCTAGATGTAATTTGAGGGAGGCCAGGGGAGAGCTTAGGAGGTCTGGCACATGCTAAGTGCAAGAAGGGTCAGGGATGGATGATGCGGTGCTGCAGGTGAGCATAGGCAGGCCTTAGGGATAGATGGTACAGTGGGGCATGAGCACAGGAAGGGTGGGGGATGGACAGTGCAGTGGGGTGCAAGTGCAGGAAGGCAAAGGGGAGTTACTTGTGACCTTCCCTGCTGGCTTTCCCAATGTTTGTGGAAAGCCAGCAGGAAAGGTCGCAAATGGTAATCTGGTGACTGCCAGCTCACATTCATGATGGCCAATCACCATAAATGGGAGCTGGTTGCCAAGCACCCAAATTGCAATTGTGTGACTGCAGAGCGCTGGGGCAGCTGGAGCTTTGAGGACTGGTCATAAGTACCACTCGTTCAGCACCAACCCAATTACGAATGGTTGCTGAACAAGTGACCAATAAGTGAGAACTACCTGTACTGATCTTAAATTAAGTAAGTCCAGACAAGCTTTTAAGGGAGTTCAAGATCTTAAAAAGCATCACTCCCAAAATATTAATTCGTATGATTAGAAATTGTCCTAGTGCCAGGATTTTCGATCAAGAACAGGTGGGAGATGCCTCTGGAATTTAAGAAGCCAAGCATGAAGTCATTATGGTTCAGTTTGTTGAGTCTTCACAAAGAAAACATACCACATAATCCCAAAGTTTTGGAGTATGCAACTTACCCTTGCACAATGCCTCCAGTGAAGCCTAAGTGCTCAGAAAAGGACTCCTGTAACAAAATGTATAGAAACCAACATAAATATGAAGAAATGATGCCAAATATAACAATAGAGGGTTTTCTTCCCTTCAAAAGGCATTTTGATAGTTAATAGTCTGGAAGACTTGTGCTGCACTTCTTAGGCTAGTAACTAAGATAGCCATTCTTTTTAACATTTAAATTAATACACTTAATTTTTCAAATAAACAGATGTTTCAATTATGGTTAAAATTATTTTCAAAGCAGGTGGAGATTTTTGCTTGCTTGTTTCATGAATGCAAACTTCGAACCACTCGGGTTTATAATGTTGCAAAGTTCTTCTCAATCAGTCTTCCCTTACTAAGTGCTCTCCAAAAAACTAACATGAAACTATTAAAGTCCAACACATTTTGAGGCTTTAAATCAGTGGTTCTCAACCTGTGGGTCGGGACCCCATTTGGGGTCGATCGACCATTTCACGGGGGTCGCCAAGCAAGGCTGTCCGCCATTTTTTTTGTCTGCCATTTTTTTCCCCTTTTCCGGCGGGTGCCTTACCTCCCTTGGGCTGGGCCAGCTGGTGGTCGGCCTGCTCCGTCTCTGCCGCTTGCCAGCTACGCCTCGG